GTCCTTGCGCGGCGTCATCGTCCAAGCAGCGCCTGTGTCCAACACCCAATAGTCTAGGGGGTGCAGCTCTGCTCCAACTTTGGCAGAGGCGTCTCCTTGCTCCCCCTTGTCTCCCACATGGAAGAATTGGCCCGCGGTGCGCTCCTTCTTCTTCTCCGCACCGCCGTTGCCCTTCGGGTTGTTGTCGGACGAATCAGCGACCATGTTGGCGCCGTTTTTCTGGTTCCTCCGCGCGCCGCCATCCTGGTGACGATTCTGGGGGGTCCATCCATCGGGTTTCTTATAGCACAAAAACCAGGGGTGCCCTTCCTTCTCACAATACCAGCAACTCCCTTTCATTTTGCCACCAGCACCCGACTTGCCCCCACGTCCAGATTTCGCACCGCGACCCCAACCGGTACCTCCTTGTTGGTCGTTGGAGTCGTCGTCTTTCTTTGCACCGTGTCCAGCACCACCGAAGCCACGTCCTCTGCCACGTCGGCTCCCTTGCATCCCGTAGCCGCTGCTGCCGTCGTCTCCACCCCTCAGTTGGCGGCGACGGAAGTCCTCCTCCAGAATCTTCGTCCGCACCCACTCGAGCGTCCACAAGCTCTGGTTCTGCGGCAGGCTCAATCCGCTCGTAAATTGAAGCCACGATTCCGGCAGCAGCGAGAGCATCTTCAAGCACTTGGTCTGCTCCGGGTAGGTGATTCCCGCGGTCGCCAACTTCGCGTAGAGGTCGCGCATCTTGTCCAGGACTGGTTGCACCGGCTCTCCCTCGCTCAGGCGCAACGCGGACAGCTCCCTCTCCAGCATCAACGTTGCGACAACGGAGGTCGGGGCGTGCAGCTCCTTCAACACGGTCCACGCCTTCGGACCGCATTCAACCTCCGGCAGCAGGTGCATGACGTGGTGACGCTGGTTCAGCTCCAAACTCTGCGACATCAAATAGTAGCCAGCCGAGGAGCGCTCGTCCCAATCTTCCTGCAGCGTGGGGTCACTCGGTCTAGGCTCCTCCCCAATCATTAGTTTCAGCAAACCGATCTGACGGAAATATAATTGCATTTTCCAGGCCCAATCATCATAGCCCTCACCATTGAACTTCTCGACGGTGAAATTCTTCAGCACCTCCTTGACAAGCGAGCCCTGGTTTGTTCGCGCTCCCCTTGGCGCTGAAAGACCAGAATCTTGGCTGCCGCTACGATCTTGGGCTGAAGATTCACCAGCTCCCGCCGAGGTGTTGCCCGCCATAGCTACCTATAACGAGGATCACTATAACGCAGCTCTGATACCAGCTTGTTGGTGTAAGGGCCTAATAAACTCAAGCTATTAGGACTTAATCAAACTTAAAACCTCTCCTCGGGGTCACCTCCAAGGGTCCCTGGGTGCCTGGTACAAGACCAGCCCCTATCATCGGGTCCGAGTTTGTAGAGAGAGGGATCAAGAAGGACTTAGTCAAAACAGCAAGAGTACCTTGAACGTCGCGCAGCGTGCCGTGCAGACCGTCGGTCGGATTAAGCTGAGAATTCGCTATATCGAAGCTCGCTCCAAGAGCTTTAAAATGAGCCAAGTTGCCTCGCGAAAAGTTCTGCCATTACTAAGTTATGGCTCGGACAGCGTTTGCCTAGCGTTGGAGTGCTAGCATACTAGCGTTGACTCGGGTAGCATTCCGCCAACGAACCGCGTAGAAACGAAATTCCAGCGAGGAAGGAATTCACATGAATCAATTTGACTATATTCAGGTACAAACAGAGAAGGATTAAATAGTTCTAGCTAGCAAGGACCTTGGGAATCAACCTGGGAACAACCAGGGATGATCCCAAATAATTCCAAGCAACAGAACCAACCTGGCTGGACAAAATAGCAGGTGGTAGGTTGGTAAACAACCTCTGGTTCTGTTTTTCCAACCTGGGAAAACAACAACCAGGTTCAGGTTCTAAAAACAGAACCTGTTTTGTCTTTGCCCAACCAGCCAAATGCTGGTTCCGCTGGTTTCCCCTGGCCTTGTAGCATGCAGATACAGACAAACAACATCCAACCTTCACCTAAATTGTACCCCTATAGTGCCTTCCCTGCTACACTATAGTTAACCAAACAAAACAGTACAATTTCGAGTTGGATAGAACTGAATCTGCGCAATCAACTCAACCGAACTGCAAAGCTTCCATCTTGGGTTCCTTTGCGAGCTCGTCCTTTCTGCTTGCACTGTTCATAGCGCGTACAATGTTGTGCCGAAGCGCACATTGCGCGAGTACCTGCGAATGCATCAAGCGAAAAATGCGAAAGCAAACAAACACACGAACACACCATTCACACGCAAATGCATTCGCACACGCATACTCGTACAAACAGACGGCAGGATGTCGTGCAATGTGCATTTGCACCCAACATACCGATATCGTTACATGCTCGTATAGAGCACTCGGCAGCTCGAGAGACACCCGAAGGTCAACAGTTACTGAAAGTCAACGATCGTGACTGTTGACCGACCAATAACCGTATCAGAGGTTACGAGATGCAACAAGGTAAATGTCGAGAATGACAATAGTCGCAGTTATTATAGCTATGCAATACAGTTGCAATAAGGGAATGTACCCCTCAGAGTACATGGCTAGCTAGATTTCTATCTAAATTTCTTGTAATTATCATTATTGACAAGGTCACTCAAAGACTTCATTGTCTTCTCTACAACTTAACAACTTTATCCTTCTACTTCGATCCTTCGGTTATAACAGCACTATTCACCAAACCATGCGCCATCCGGCCGTGTCAGCCTACGCTTCAAGACTGGCCTGAACCTTGATGCCAGCATCGCACTAGCTAGCTCGCACGCATAGCGTTATCGTTTGAATGTTTCGCGTGCCTTAGGCGCAGTGCTTTTGATGTATTTTAACCGAGCAATACCTTTCTGCAAGTTCGAAGCAGTGTGGAAGTTCGACTATAATGCACCGCCTTAGGGCGGGTCAAACTTTGCACGTATTTGCAGAAAACCCTACCCAACCGTCTTTTGTTTTGATTGGACCGCCCTGGATCAAACCAAACCCTTTTTGAACGGCATTCGGACGTACTCTTTTGACCCGCCCTTAGAAGGTGTCTCATGTGACTGGTCCGCCCCGATGGTCCGCTGCAAAAAAAAAGCATGCCTGGTCCGCAATTCTGGTCCGACGGACCTACTTCGCGGACCAGCCATGGACCAGGCACGAGCTGGCCCACGTGAGACATCGCGCCACGGGCTGTGCAATACTTGCGAACAAAAGTCTGTATCAACGAAAATCAGACATGTTGAGATTGAGTTACCTCTTTTTTTTGCCCCTTTAAAATTCCTCATCTTGGTCGAGCGACAATCACGAGTGGCGAAAAGTTTCGCAAACAGCTGTGTGAGCTGCTACAGTTACAGACCAGGCGCGGGCTGGTCTAGCGATCAGTTCAATGGCACCGTTGCACTGTATGCCAGTTGAAAGTTTTATCGGGGTTAATCTCGGTCCAGTCCGCCGCTGGTTGAGGCTTGGTTCTCGAGCTGGTCCGCCAGATCCGCGTCGGACCCGCGTGGACCCGCACATTTGAGACACGTCCTTAGCTCTTACTTTTGGCCTTGTTCGATAGCCAATAGGAACGGGAACGGGAGGGACTGGCTCGAAACCAGGGTTGGGAGGGGAAAGTCGTTCCTGTCCCCGTTGGCTATCGAACAAGGCCTTTGTTCCGTTGTGCAATCCCCGCTATCTCCTTCAATTGCACCCGTAACACCTCCCCATTCTGATGAGGGTCCAACAGATGCGAACTCCGAAAGCAAGGACAGTCAAAAACGGCGCGAGCCGCGCGAAAGGACAAAGGACAATGAATGAGATTCGTGAAGGCTAGCAAGGACAGCAATCCTTTTCGCGATACATTTGAAAAGGACGATGAGCTGGCCTCAGCGACTCACTGTCGTGGAGGTACTCTGGTTCCTTTCCTTGAACCAAATCTACGGTTGCGGTAAAGTTACGGGGTTCTGGGTTCTGTCCGATTTGTTCTACCTCATGCATGAGACAGTGCTGTTTTGGTGCTGTGCACTAAATGCAGCACAACTGCCTGCGTGGGGTAGCAGAATCTGCACAAAACTGCACCAAATAAGTGTCTTATATATCATAACTCCGTGGGGGCTCCTACGCATTCTTCATGAAGGACTCACGTGGGTAGGGTAGTACAATGTCTACGCTGTTTGTCCTTTCACCCGAGAATCGTCAGGTGGCGATGAGAGGGGATCATCTGATGAGCTGCTATCTGGCTTCACCGCCAAGGTTCCGAAACAAGGACTCTGCCGTCGTCGTCGCTCGCTCATGTCGGTCCGCCCCGTGGTCTCGTTAACAAGGTAGCCTAGACCTGTCGAAATCATTGTCGTGTCTTATTCAATAAGAGATTGCATTCGTCGCGGTCAACTCGTTCTCTTCCTCTCTGTATTCCTCATGTCCGCACGTCGGCATTGTGTGCCATCAACCGTGACTCCACATGAGGAGTTCCGCCGAGTCGGCGGACTTCGTTTGCGCCATTGGGATTATCCTCCCAAAAGAGAGCCCGCTTATCATGGTGTACCTCGGTCCGAGCCGCAGAGACTGCCCGAGGCGGCACGCTCAGCGGCCTCGTCTCCCTCCCCACGCTGCGTGGCAGGAAAGCTCGCGTTTCCGACTCTTGAGGCGCGTAAAGAGTATTCTTCCGCGCATCCCGGCTCGCTCTTCCATCCCCATCTCTTTCGGCCGCAACATACGCTGCTTCTCGTGGTTCTACTCCTCCCGCTATTATCACGGTCGGATTCGTCAAGCACCCCTGCCGGGAACGTCTACCACCGCTATTATCACGGATCGGATGGATCCGCGAGCTCTTTATCTTCCGCCCTCCGCGACTCTCCGCAAGGTTCCGCGGATCATGGCCCGCCGCTGCGCGCTAGTGGAAGTAGTAGTACTGGCGGGTCACCCGCCGCGGCTGCCAGCGGCGCGGTGGCGGTACCGTGCGCCCCGCGCGCCGACTCGATTCCACGAAAGGTTCTTTTACGGGAAGGGACGGTACCTCCAGAGCAGGCGAAGGCCGCAGACATTATGCTTCGAGAGATCGGAGCGCGAGAGGCGGAAGCGCGAGTAGATACTAGAGTCGTTTGGGGAAAAGCCACCAGCGCAAGAGGCGGTGGGCAAAGCAGGGGGATCGGAAATAACGGCGCTGAGCACGGCGGGGATGGCGGCACGATTCGCGGGGTGCAGGAAGAGGGGGTGGATGGGAGGGAGGAGGTGACGTTGGGTTGTCTCATTCCAACTTACTCGCAGGACGGATTGAACATGCTGGCAGGTGATTATGATTATGATGGTGATGGTGATGGTGATGGTGATGGTGATGGTGATAGTGATGGGGAGGATGATGAGAGTCAGTAGCATGTTATTGGGTAGTAACGATGGCGATGGTGTCATGGCAAACCTTTTCCTCCACCTCCTTTGCTTCTTTCCTCTCCCCATTCCGCTCCTTGGTTGGTACTTGATGGCCAATCGCCATCCACTCTCCCCATTCTTTGAGCCTTTGTCTCTTCAACTTCTCACCACATCCCCTTCCGCCTTCACCCCATCCCCTTCCGCCTGCCCCCTATCGCCTGCCCCCATCCCCTTCCGCCTGTCCCCCATCCCCTTCCGCCTTCACCCCATCCCCTTCCGCCTGCCCCCTATCGCCTGCCCCCATCCCCTTCCGCCTGTCCCCCATCCCCTTCCGCCTGCCCCCCATCCCCTTCCGCCTGTCCCCCATCCCCTTCCGCCTGCCCCCCATCCCCTTCCGCCTGTCCCCCATCCCCTTTCCCGCTCCCATTCCGCCTGTCCAGCAATCACTATGGCAGTTGCTGACGTCAACAGCGACCCCACCATCCTGCCACGTCACCGCATCCGCCTAATCACTCGCAACATCAGCGCCAGCTCGCCATCCATTCTCAGCCAGCTGGCAGGTAGGCGCTGACGTGGCACCAGCCTGACGCTAGGCACATCATTCACATCATTCATTCACATCATTCACATCATTCACATCATTCATTCACATCATTCACGTCAGCAACATAAGCTACTCGCCAGTCATACGCCCTGCTAACTGTTCCTCTCCCTTCCCTCCTCCTCCTCCTACTCCCCCACTCCTCTCTCTCCTTAATCCTCCTCATCCCGAGCCTCTTTGTGCTCATGCAGGCATGGCAGCAGTGCAGCAGCGGCCAGTGGCAATCATAGGCCCAGGGACGTCCGACCAAGCAGCTCTCATCAGCCCACTTGCCACTGCCACCCAGGTAACCACACTAGCTAGGCAACGTTATTTTGTGCTTGGAATGGCGTGTCTCATCCTATCCACCTCATCCCATCTCCACCTCATCCCATCCCATCCACCTCATCCCATCCCATCCCATCCACCTCATCCCATCTCCATCTCATCCCATCCCATCTCCACCTCATCCCATCTCCACCTCATCCCATCTCCACCTCATCCCATCTCCACCTCATCCCATCTCCACCTCATCCCATCTCCATCTCATCAAATCCGTCCCTGCAGACCCCTCTGTTGTCAGCAGCAGCAACGGACGTGCAGCTGACAGTGGGGGGTGCTCGCCCGTACTTCATGCGCACCATTCCCAACGATGGCGTTGACATGCACGCCATCGCCGGTAACACACGCTGACACGTGCTGTGGAGATGGGGTGATGTGTGCAGGTGAGGTGATGTGTGTGCATGCTGCTTCATGATGTGTAGTAAGCATTCCCAATGATGGAGTCCACATGCACGCCATAGCCGATAACACAGGGCACCGCATGCACGTATGGTGGTGCATGCACATATGGTGGTGTATGCAGGTACGGTGGTGCATGGAGGTACGGTGGTGCATGTAGGTACGGTGATGCAAGCATGTAGGTTCGATGATGTGCGTACGTATGGTGATGCATGCGGGCAAGTATGGTGCGTGCAGGTACGACGATGTATTTGTGTTCGTTTTCTCCCCCTGGTTCTGGCTCTTCCTCGTTCTCTGTGGCAGCGTTGCTCTTGCGCTACAAGTGGAGGCAGGTCGTGGCAGTGTACACGGACAACCGCTTCGGCCGCAACGGCATCTCCGCGCTCATGACCTACCTGCTCGCACTCAAGGTGTGCGCACGCACTCGCTTGCACACTCAAAATGCCTTTTGAGTCTTTACTTGGAAGTCACCGTTTTGGCCGCAACGGAAGGTGTGCTCACACTCACGACGAAGCACTCTCTCATCTCACAGTCCTTGCAGGAGTTCGTTCAACAATTTTAAGTGTAGACGCTCACCGTCCACCCACACTCACTCACACTTAATCACTCTCACTCACTCACTCACACCCATTCACACTCTTTCATACTCACGGGGACTCCTTCACACTCACTCACTTATAATCCCTCACATGAGATATGCGAAACAAAAAGACATACCATGTGTGTGCTGTGCGGTGCGTTGACCCTTCCCCCTCGTCCCATCCCCTCGTATTTCCCTTGCCTTTTCCTACCCCTCACCCCCCTCTCAAAGGAGTGGCACGGGGCCAAGAGCTTCAAGGCAGCCTTCTCCATTCCCCTCTCAACCCTTTCCACCCCCTACCCCTACCCCATACTCCCCTATACCCCTACCTCTGTCCATACACCTGAAGGCGTCGGATGTGCACATTGCCCAGAGGGTGCCTGTCAAGTCCACGTGGACAGCTGATGACGTGGCACAAGCCCTGGCTGACAGCAAGGCAGTGGACTCCTCCGTCTACGTGCTGCACGCGTCCTCTACCATGTCTGCTCTCATACTCGATACAGGTACACTCGATATGTGTGTACTATCTGAAGATGGGCGTAAATAAACAGAACATTGGGGTAACATTGTGGTGGGGGGGTAAAAACAGTTTTAGAAAAATCTTTTGACTTGTAGGATATATGGTCAAGAATAGCCACATGTCTGGCGCACCCCCATCCTTCCCTCAACCACAAGAAAGCTGTGCATGATAGGGAAGAATTACCTGGGAAAACCAGAGCGAGCCATTTCAGATTCAGACCAAGGTCTCTTTCACTGCACCCCTATTTCAGCGAGCAAGCTGGGCATGATGGGGAGGAACTACGTGTGGATCGCATCAGAGGGGGCTGCCCAGGCCAACACGTCTACACTGCAGAATGCAGAGGTGGGTGAGCGGGTACATGAGGGTGCATGAGGGTGCATGAGGGTGCATGAGGGTGCATGAGGGTGCATGAGGGTGCATGAGGGTGCATGAGGGTGCATGAGGGTGCATGAGGGTGCATGAGGGTGCATGAGGGTGCATGAAGGTGCAGGAGGGTGCAGGAGGGTGCAGGAGGGTGCATGAGGGTGCATGAGGGTGCATGAGGGTGCATGAGGGTGCATGAGGGTGCATGAGGGTGCATGAGGGTGCATGAGGGTGCATGAGGGTGCAGGAGGGTGCAGGAGGGTGCATGAGGGTGCATGAGGGTGCATGAGGGTGCATGAGGGTGCATGAGGGTGCATGAGGGTGCATGAGGGTGCATGAGGGTGCATGAGGGTGCATGAGGGTGCATGAGGGTGCATGAGGGTGCATGAGGGTACATGAGGGTGCATGAGGGTGCAGGAGGGTGCAGGAGGGTGCAGGAGGGTGCAGGAGGGTGCATGAGGGTGCAGGAGGGTGCAGGAGGGTGCATGAGGGTGCATGAGGGTGCATGAGGGTGCATGAGGGTGCATGAGGGTGCAGGAGGGTGCATGAGGGTGCATGAGGGTGCATGAGGGTGCATGAGGGTGCAGGAGGGTGCAGGAGGGTGCAGGAGGGTGCAGGAGGGTGCATGAGGGTGCAGGAGGGTGCAGGAGGGTGCATGAGGGTGCATGAGGGTGCATGAGGGTGCATGAGTGTGCATGAGGGTGCATGAGGGTGCGTGAGGGTGCATGAGGGTGCATGAGGGTGCATGAGGGTGCAGGAGGGTGCAGGAGGGTGCATGAGGGTGCAGGAGGGTGCAGGAGGGTGCAGGAAGAGAGTACGCATTTGTCTTTTGAGACGTCACAGACCTCGATTTCTAGTTGCTCGTCTCTCGCTTCTCCCCTCCTCTTCTCGACTCACGTCTGGACCCCTCGTCTCCTCTCCCATCAGTGGGGGTTTCCTGTCGTATTTTCTACCCGATTTCCTGAATCCAGTTCCAATGAACTTCCTCTCCTCTCTCCTCCCCTCGTCTCCTCTCTTTTCCTCTCCTCTCTCCTCGCCTCTCCTCTCAATTTTTCCAAATCCTTTCATCCAGTCTTCCCAGGGTTTGATCACAACTCTCCTTTCTGCTTCACTTCTCCTCTCATCGCATCTATTTCCCCCGTCCTTCTCCCCCACACCTCACACCTCCTACCCCTCTCTTCCCCAGGGTCTGATAATCACGGCCTCGTATGTGCGTCCGTCGCAGCGCCTGGCAGCGTTCAAGCAGCGGTGGAGGCAGGTGAGCGTGCAGCAGTTGCCAGGGGCGGGCGAGGAGGACCCCAAGACGTACAGCCTCGCAGCCTATGACGCCGTCTACCTCGTCTCCCTCGCCCTGCACTCCCTGCTGCACCGCAACACCACCGCCAGAAGCGGCAGCAGCACCAGCTCCAGCAGCAACAGCAACAGCAGTGCGAGTAATGAGGCCTTGATACTGCCGGTGGCAGGGCAAGGGGTGGAGTCCGGTGGTGGGCTCATTCCGCTGCTGCAGAACCTGCAGCGCAACTCAGGTGGGTTCTTGCTTACTTGTGAGGTGCCTTATACCCAATGCAACTCATACCCTGAAGGACCTCATGCTCATCATTCTTTCTTTGGTACATCTTGACTTTTACTCTCCCTCTCTCTCTCTGCTCCTTCTTTGAGCTATTCCCGCTCGCTCATGCTTCCCTCCCCCGTGAATTGCAGTGGGCCCAGCACTCCGTCAAGCCATCCTCAACACATCATTCCAAGGACTCACAGGGAGGTAAGAGGTCAAAAGACCTTTTGAGGTGCCTTAAAAAGGTTGCGGCAACAGTTCAAATGCATTACAGGAAAACATGAGCTGCTTATATGGTTGTGCTATCTCACCGCCTTCTCTCCCTTCCCCCCTCTCTTGCTCAAACCCCCACGTCCCTTCCCGCCCCACCACCAACCTCCCTACCCTTCCCCCGGTCCTCTCCAGGGTGTCCCTCACCGCACATGGTGATGTGCAAGTCGAAGCAACGGAGGTGCTCAATGTGGTCAACGCCACGGCCATCAGGGTCGGCTTTTGGACTCACCACTGGCACCTCACGCCCTCTCTGAAGGTGTGCTGTGCTGTGCTGTGCTGTGCTGTTGTTTGATTCGATTTGGTGTTATGTGAACACAGCGCTTCTTAAGCATGGCATTGCCATTCTGTCTTGCTTCCCTTCATCTGCTGTCTCTTGTCAGAACTTGAGCCTAGAGTGGATACATTAATAATGAGCTCAAGGCTTTTTTAGTACAGCAGAAATGAGCAAGGTCTGGATGGGGAGGGAATTAGGGGCAAT